CCCTCTTTTCCCAAAGAGAAGCATGAGGTGTTGATCAGAATGTAGAGTCTATACTTTGTATCTCCACTTTGATCCTAGGTTATATTGTAAACTTAAAGAAATGACTTTACCTTCCTGAGCACACTCATTGGGTATAACAATACCCATTCCTGTTTAAAACACAGTGACTTGTGCATACACATTTGTTGAATAATTAGATGTTATTTTTGGCATCATATATCTGAATAACAATAAACAATTCCATTCATTCTCCTGGGAGGCTGAACAAAGATATATAGCTCAAGCTCAACCACAGCAACAGACTACAGGGCAGGCTGCAACAACACTGCATTTAGCCTTTTATACTTTAGCTGTTTACACTTGGACACAATAGGAAGACCTCACCTAAAACTCTCCTTCCAACTGATGGAAAAACTGTCTATTAGAATTTTTATTTTTCAGAGTGGGATTTCTCCTTTTTAAGTCAGGATGATAAGTTTTGGTATAAAGTCTTTGTATTAAAGTAAGAATAGAAATTTCTGAAGCCAGAGTCAATTAATTATCAGTAATTTAACTGTACTAAAGACAGGATGGTGCTGTATGTCATAAACCCACATAGCCCCCATTCCCAGTGCTTGATAAGATTTTAACGTTTACCACTATCATCATTTTCATTTGGTTAGTACACCTCTGCTCTGACTTATGACGGAGTCCTTGTGATGGCTGAAACTTTCCGAAATCTTAGAAGGCAGAAAATTGATATCTCGAGGAGAGGCAATGCTGGGGATTGTCTGGCAAATCCTGCTGCTCCATGGGGCCAGGGAATTGACATGGAAAGGACACTCAAACAGGTAACTCACAATTTTACTTAAGCTCAATTTATTTCATGGTCTCATTTAAGTTGAATGTTCAGAAAAACAGACTATCTGAGCATAAATATATATATAACAATTGCTATTTTAATATATCAAGACTTCATCATTTTTGAGACACTTCTAGATAGAATACAGTGTAGAATCTTGCTATTTATATGTTATGTGGATGCATAGTCCAGATAAATTAGGTTATGCTATGGTAATAAACAATCCCAAATCCCAGTGGTTTAAAACAACAAGGGAGCTTTTCTCACTCAGACATACACTAGATTAGCAGGGCCACTCTGCTCCTTGGAGTCACTCAAGGATCCAGGCTGGCAGAGCAGCTACCATCTTGAATGCTGCAAGGGAAATAGATAGCTGTGGGGAGATTTTGAATTGGCAATTAAATACTGTGGCACTTGTCATGTCTATTTACAACTCAGATGTCATAAAAGGTCGTATAGGTCTAACTAACCACAGGGGGTTCAGGAAGTACAAGCCTACCTTGGACCCAGAATGCAAAAGAACCAGAATATTTAGCAAACACAACTATCGACTGACTACCTAAGTAGATCTTTAAATTGCTTTGTAACCTTGGATTAAATAATTGGTTCATTATAGTCTTTTATAGTTAAACTAACATTATTTTTCAAATAATTAAGAGTGTGTATATATATATATATGTATATATTTTTTTAATATTACAGGTTAAATCTTCCGAAATGCCATGAGTTCAAAATATAAGTAAAAGTGAATTAAAAGGAAATTTGAAATAAAATATATTTGAATATTTTCAAAAATATATTTATAAGTTTTAGCTTCTTATATCTTAATTTTAATATTAGAGAGGTGAAAATACGATATGGCATGGGTATCTGGGCTATTTAATTCATTATGTGGATATATAGGTAAAACTGAAAAGTAACTGTAAACAAACCATATTTCCATTCCTATAAAAATACTTTGTAATTGAGGAAGAATTCTGTTAGTTAAAATGGAAACTTCATAATATTAAAAACAAATAAAACATATTAATCTCCCATGTATATAGCAGACTTGCTTGTATATCCCTTTGATATTCCTCTTTCATATTCTATCCCAACAGCTCAAACACCCAATGGCATTTCAGTAAGTTGGTTATAGTTCCACATGCTTATGTAGTCATAGCCTAGCAGCTGAATTTGAGATTTCTATAAATGAAATGGCAAATGAATACATGTGTGGGTTTTCTTTTTCTCTCAGGTTCGAATTCAAGGGCTGACCGGGAATGTTCAGTTTGACCACTATGGACGTAGAGTCAATTACACAATGGATGTGTTTGAGCTAAAGAGCACAGGACCTAGAAAGGTGAGCCACAGTCAAACTGAAGAAAAAAAAAGAAAATTCTCTGTTTTCGTGTTTGCATTTGACATTTTTAAATATTTCTAGGAGAAAGATAGCTGGATATTCTACACTTCCTTTTTTTTTCAATATGAGTACTTATAGATACTGTGGTACTTTCTTGATAATCTATGCTGAGATAAATTCTTGCATCATGTAATTGATATTTAATGGGATGCTAAAGCTGAAACAAAGTAATTTATGCACTATTTATATCCTTTATCCAAAATGGAAGCAATATTTTGGGATGAGGGAGGCTCAGCAAAACAAATCCCACAAAACAAAATTTACTCTGCAGGACCGAACACAATGCAATAAAAAGATACAAGCATCTCTATGAAGTCATTTATGAAATCATTAGAAGGAGTATAAAGAAACCGAATTCTAAAACATCTAAAAAGTGCTTTATACAATGGAACCATACAACCCCACCACAGTAATTAGTTATAAGTGTTTTATAGCTAACGCATATAACTTTTAACATTCCTTTTCTCTAGGATTAGCTACGATGCTCAAGGAAAGAGATATTCAAGTTAACCTTATCTAAAAACTCTATTTGTTTCAACACTTGGCTGTTTGGAAGAACTTTCAAAAATATGCTTCCCTGCTTTAATGTAATAATGATAGCTATAATTCATGAAATGCCTGTTAGGTATCCAGCCCTGGACGTGATGCATTGCATAATTTAATCCTCATAACAAACCTATAATTTGAGTATTATCTCCCTTTTTTCAAATAAGAAAATTTTGGCCCAGTAAGTTATCTTCTCCAATGCCTGTAAGTGAGAAAACAAAGATTTTCATTCAGATATGTCTGACACCAGAACGTTTTCACATGATGCCCCACTTGAGTAGACCCTGCTCTAGAGGAGTTTATGTTCTAGTAGGGTAGGAAATAAGAGGTTCCAAATGGCAATAAAAGAGAAGACATGTGAAATTCCTTTTTTTATTTCATTATATTTAAGGAGTACAAGTGCAGCGTTGTTGTTACACAGATATATCTTACAGCAGTGAGGTCTGGGCTTTTAGTGTACCCAACACCCGAGTAGCGTACATTATATCCAATAGGTAATCACCCTCGTCCCACTCTCCCAACTTTGAAGTCTTTGCTGTCTATTATCTCACTCTGTATGATCATGTGTACCCATAGCTTGAGTCCCACTTTTAAATGAGAACATGCGGTATTTGATTTTCCATTCCTGAGTTACTTCACTTGGAATAATAGCCTACAGTTCCATCCAAGTTGCTGCAAAAGACATTATTTCATTCTTTTTTATGGCTGAATATTATTCCATGGTATAGATATACCACATTTTCTTTGTTCTCTCATCATTTATGGGCACTTAGGTTGATTCCATACTTTTGCTATTGTGAATAATGATGTGATAAACATATGAGTGCAGGTGTGTTTTTGATATAATGACTTCTTTTACTTTGGGTAGATACCCAGTAGTGGGATTGCAGGATTCAATGGTAGATCTATTTTTAGTTCTTTGAGAAATCTCCACACTGTTTTCCATAGAGGCTGTACTAATTTACATTCCCACCAACCATGTATAAGTGTTCTCTTTTCATTGCATCTGCCCCAACATCTATTGATTTTTAACTTTTTAATAATGGCCATTCCAACTGGGATAAGGTGGTTTCTCATTGTGGTTTCAATTTTCATTTCTGATGATTAGTGATGTTGAGCATTTACTCATATGTTTGTTGGCCATTTGTATATCTTCTTTTGAAAAATGTCTGTCCATGTTGTTTGCCCACTTATTAATGGGCTTATTTGTTTTTTTCTTGATCCATTGTTTGAGTTCCTTATAGATTCTAGATGTTAGTTCTCTGTTGGATGCATAGTTTGCAAATAATTTTCCCATTCTTTAGGTTGTCTGTTTACTCTGTTGATTATTCCTTTTTCTGTACAGAAGCTTCTTAGTTTAATTAAGTCTCACTTGTTTATTTTGGTTTTTATTGTATTTGCTTTTGGGGTCTTAGTCATAAATTCTTTGTCTAGGCCAATGTCAAGAAACTTTTTCCTAGGTTTTCTTCTAAATTTTTATATAAAGCCATATAGTAACAACCAACTGATCTTAAACAGACAAAAACATACACTGAGGAAAGGACACCCTATTCAATCAATATGCTGGGAAAATAGGATAGCCATATTCAGAAGAATGAAACTGAATCCCTATCTCTTACCATACACAAAAATTAACTCAAGATGGATTAAAGATTTATATGTAAGGCATGTGAAATTTCTAAAGAGGAAGAGATCATTTTCTCTTTAGTGGAAGAAAACAAAATCAAGGAAGGCTGTGTGGAGGAAGTGGGATTTAAAGTTAGCCATGAAGTTAGAATTTGGATAGATTGAAATGCAAAAGGCAACAGCATAAGGAAAGGCTTGGAGGCGGGACAGTTAAGGTCATATATGGAAAATAGCAAAGGCTTTCTGAGTTGTGTTTTGCTCCAGTCTCTTATGTGAGTATGCTTCTGGATGTATGAGAAGGAGAAATCTGGAGCTGCCATGAAAACCATCTCCAGCTTTTCAGCCCCTTAGTGGCATCCCTCCTTGTGTGCAGGCTGCCAGCCAATACACAGCAGGCCAGAGCCTACCTGATCCAGATTAGGTATGGCAGGAGACGGATGACAGCTGGGGAGGCCCAGCTGCACTGCATGACAGGCAGGCTCCTCTAAGAAGATTGCCCAAAGCAAGGGAAGGAGATGGTCCCAAGAAGAACCCACTCTGCCAACGCACAGCTAGCAACAAGAAAGAAAGAGGCCTGTTTTAAACAAAATCCCTCTGCTAACTGTGGAGCAGACAGAATACTCCACAGGCCCTAACAACATTGCCTAACAGGTGGACAGAGGTAAGACAAGCCCACCCTCCTGCCACACACCAGACCTTGCAAAATTAGTCATTTAAGCAGAGCTTTTTAAAATGCAAAAAAAACCATTCCATATTTTACAAAACAGTAAGTGCAGAAAATCAAATGGTTCTCCATAAAAGAAAGAAAGACGGTGGTAACTAACAGTGATATCAGTGGGCTTTTTATAGTACTGAGTCTTTTCATGGCCTGTTGAACCTTGATGGTAACAAAAATTAAGATTTTTGGAGGAGAAAGTTAAAGCGTGAGTTAGGAGAGTGAGGAACAGTACATCTTCACACCCAGCTGACATTCATTTATCTAAGGCCCTTAAAAGAAATATGGAGTGTAAAATGGTGTAGACTCATCTATCTTCATTTTTCTGTGGCAACGATCAACTTGGGCATTGTGTCAGGAATATTAAACTTAAAAATGAGACACTGTGTGAAACACTATGCTGGTGAGACTAGGCAGTATGTCTGAGAAGTGAGCAATCGTTCTTGTAAATTGAACCTTGCTAGCAAGGGAGCTATCTCTGAAAATAGATCAGAGAGTCAACCCATCAGTTTGTCTGACTTCTGTAACAGGAAAACTGATTGAGAGTCTCATTAAGCAGAAGCCACAAAGTTCTTTCTGAAGTCCTGGCT